ATAACTCATAAAAATATTCTTATTTATTTTGTAACGTTTTTGTGCTTTGATGGAGTTATATATATGTGTAGTGTAAGCTTTATTGGATATATACTTACACACAACACAATTCCCCCATATACTTGGATAACATACAATAGTAGTTGGGTATTTTGATCATTTTTATAAGCTTCTACTCCTTAATACGTAAATTAGGAAGTGAATAAGTTGGGGTTTTATCGTAGGGACAACGCGTCGTTTACTCTCTGCGATTTGTATTGGAGGGCGTAAATCGTCTCGAGGAGAGCTGAAAATCCGCGACTCATCCAACTAAATTTCCAGATTATTTTTTCACTTTATATTTTTTTTATTTTTCCATTTTTCTTGTATTATTTCCCAACACTTTATTTACTTAACAACAAATCCTTCTTTGCTACTCCATACCAAGCAAGGTTTGATGTAGTTGGTAAGAAAATTCACCTTGTAACCTTAAGGTCACAAGGGGAATTCTCCCAACTGCGGTATTAGGAGGTGAAAATCTCTTACCCTTTTTCTTCACTTCTAAGTGCATGGCCCGCAAATATTAGACAAAAAAACTGTGCAGGTTAAGTTATGGTCATGTCATTTTCTCATTCTCTTTACGGTTAATAAAAAAAAAACAAAAAAAAACCTTCTTTGCTTCTTGTTTGTATATTGTAATTGAGATCTATTACCGCTTTCAAAGAAAGGGGGATTAATCAATAGATCGAATACATTCCAACTTATAAAGACAATGTTTGTAATATAATATCTACCAAGAACCTTTATAATAAATCTTAGACCTTGTTTGTAATATACTTACCTCTGTTTTTTTAGTTGACACGTATTTCTTTTTAGAAAGTTTATATTTAATTGATACGTTTCCTTTTTGGGTAAGCTTTTCCTCTTATATTTACCAGTGTACCCCACTTGTTTTATCATTCTCTCTCATTATCTCTCCTCTCCTTCATATATGTGCCTAAATTAAACGTGTCAACTAAATAAAAACGGAAGAAGTAATATCTAGCATTTCTCGGAGGGAGTAAAATCAATGAGAATTTGGCACAGCTTTTGTCAGAGTGCTAGTCAACTTCACAAGTACGTACAAGGAGGCAATAAAAGGACTAGTACCTTAGCATTAAGACTTATTTGGTTGCACAAAGAAAAGGAGGGAAGTGAAAAATTATGGAAATTTGAAAATAAAAGGGTTGTTTGGTTGACAACAAAAAGTGTAAATGAAGGAATTGCAAATTCATGGGAAATGTAACTTCCCACAAAATATGGGAAGTCAATTGCCTAACCCCCCGGTAAGTCAAAATTTTCATGATTTGCAAACTTTCTTCATGCTAATCAAACAATTTTATGCAATTTCTAGAAATTTGATGTAGATATTTAATTCCCATGAAATACAAATTCCTATGGGAAGTAAATTCCCATATACTTTCCATAGCAACTAAACGACACCTTATAAAAAGTTTAACTTTTTCATCTTTTATCAATGCGGGACATTTTCATGTGTTATTTAGAAAGGCGAATTGAAGCGGATAAGCCGGATATGGTGCGAAGTCCACAAAATTATACCCATTTATCGTCTCTAATTATTTTTGAGTTAATGTACAACAAAGGTAGGAGAGATGACAAACATTAATTTTATTCTTCAATACTCGTACAGCGACTTTGAGGGCTCTACAATCATCAAGTTTTGGTGCTACTTTTGCTTATCATTGGTTGAATACTTAATTTTGAGTAAGTGTACTTTTTCGTTGCTTGATAATTACCCATACGCGTTTGTACAATCAACGGGGGACACTTCCAATAATTTTTTGACTGAAGATTATCGACACTAATCCAACTTTTACGTCGTAAACTAATCACTAGTCAGCTTTTAAATCACTAATTATTGCTTACCCTACCTACCTAACATTCTACTAAATTTTAAGCAGAAAATCTTTAAAATTTGAAAAATTTGTCAAAAAAAAATCTTGTAAAAGCACCATTTTGTGAAAAAAAAATCTTTTAAAAGCTTTTTGGTTAAAAAAAACCACCAAGTTGATTTTTTTTGTGAGGAGAAACCTGTTTACTTAATTACTCTCTAATTTCCTCCAATTTAAACTAATTACCCTCTAACCCACCTAATTATTTAATATTTAAATTTAATCTATAAAAAAAAAATCACCAACCCCCAAACCACTCGCCAACCACCATCTCCCCTTCCCCCTCCCCCGTCGAACCCGTCGCCCAGATTCCCCCACCCCTGGCAACCTACCTCCACCGCGGGCCGACCCTCCATTTCCCCTTTATCCCCGCCAGCGACCACCCACCTTCCTAAACCCTAACCTAGAGATGTCCTCCGATTATGGCGATAACGAATGCGGCGGTGCTTTGGCGGCGATTTTTGTTGAGATAGTCTTGGGAAAGGGTGGGAGTTGAGGTGGGAGTTGAGAGAGATTGATGGTGGTGGAGAAGAAGAGTTTGGAGGTTTGGTAATGGTGGATTTTAAGGTTGAGGAATTTGGTGGAGGGGGAGATGGAGGTGGAAAGGAGGAGAGAGAAAGTGGCGGACGAGGGTAAAGCTGGATGGGTCGCCTATCGTCGGTGAAGGTGGGTCACTGGGGGTGCCGGTAGGGGTTTCAGGCGGCGACTAGGGGAACGAGCTGCCGCTTGCCAAGTGAGTGGGAAAGGGAAAAGGGTGGTTGGATGGTGGTGGTTTTTGTTTTTTTTTTTTTTTTTTTTTTTGTTTTTAATTTATAAATTAATTTAATTATTAAATGATTATGTAAGAGTTAGAAGTTAATTAAAGAAAATTATAGGTTAATTAGTGTATTAGGGGCACTAGGTTTCCTTTAACAAAAAAATTTCACAACTGTGTTTTCTTTTGCCAAAATGTTAAAAATCAGGTTTTTTTTAACCAAAAACTTTTAAAAGGTTTTTTTTTTCGCATATGGTGCTTTTAAAAGTTTTTTTTTGACTAATTTTCCTCAAAATTAATGTTGTTGATAGGTACCCTTTGAATTAATTTGATAAACTTTAAAATGTACCACAATTGTTAGTAATAAACGTAAGTACGTAACCTAGTTAATCACTAATCAGATAAAAATTAATGTATGACTGTCATTTCTACTAAGCTAAATAATGATAAACGAGATATTTATTAAAAATAAATAATAACGGCCGTAATTAAAATGGACAACAAATGACTATACTTAAACACTTTTAAAAAATGGAGTATTGTCGTATTGAATTTCTTCGTACATTAGGAAGTGGTTTTTTGATGGTAAAGTTGTAAAGAGTGATATGACGAACTTTTTACATTAAAAATGATCTAATTTATAAGGACTAATTTTTGCAAAGATAGCAATTTAATCAATGAAAATCATAAATAGTAGTGTATATATTGTAAAAAAAAAAAAAAAGAAAAAAAGAAAAAAAATGTGGTGGGGGTGCAGTGGCGGATCTTGAAACTTTCTCTATCGGGGGCCAAATTTTTGTAATATAAAAGTAACTATGTAAATCCATAAGAGTTAAACAAATAACAAAATTACACTAATTGACTCAAAATATGACCCAACAAACTATTGACACAAAATTGTCGTATTTTTAAATTGATTTGAGAATGGACACTGAATACACCCGGTGATATGAATTTAATAAAAAAAATGAAATTAATATCGTCATTAGAAATATCAATGAGTATAAATAATGTTTTTAATTACATACTAAATTAATGTCAATCTGTTTATGATAAAATTTCATGTTAACGGTTATAGTTCGATCTTAGTTCATATTAATGAGTGTTATTAACAAATGTCATATCAAAAATGAAAAACACAAATTTAAATATATATATATATATATATTCAAATTGATTTATAAAAAAATATATATAAAAACACAATATTATAGACTTATAGTTCAACTAATTTTTTTCACCAAATGTTTTGGGGGGCCAAGCCCCTGTGAGCCTAACAAAAGGTCCGCCACAGTGGGGGTGGGGGTGGGGGGTGGGGGGTGGGGGCGGGGGACATATACAAGTAACTTTTATTTTAGATTTAGCAGAAAACCAGCTATTGGAATGACTTTGATCATTTTGAATATTAATTTACATTCGTCTTATAGTATTTATTATGTACTCGTTTTTCTTTGTTTTTTTTTTTTCCCCCGAAGTTTTTGTATTCTTAAATTCCTCTTAACATTTGTACAATTGTACCTCATCCAAAGATCGCAGTGTTTCCGATTTTAAAGGTATAGCATTAATAGCATGCTAATTGTGTACACTTGGCAACATAAGTTGTTAGTGTTTACGAATCACGAGTATGAGAGTTTAATAAGGATATATTATGATATTATGTTTGTTGTAGAAATCAGGTGATAGCTTTCTATTTAATGACCACATGGCTGAATGTAGTATTGCTGACATAGTTTATACGAAATAATATGTAGATTACATGGATATGTATTTTAGAGACGGCAAAATTTATTTTTTTATAGACGCACTCGTTTTTATAATAAACATGCTAATCAATACATATTTAAAAACTAGGTATGTGGACTTTGTTTCAAAAAATATATAGGTTTAATTCAAAGAAAATGAATACATATTTCAAAATATAAACAAATTAAAATCAATGAACATAATGGTTAAACAAAAGAGCATAAACCATAAAAAATGAAGCTCCAAATTCAAGAAACAAATAACAAATAGGTTAACTTTAAAAAAACATCTAATCTCCATGTGTAAAATAAATTCCCCAAATAACAAACTCTGCATTACAATTTAAAAATAATACAATTATAAGGTAAAAGAGCATAGTAAAATTTCAAATACTAAAAGTTGTTATTTATTACCAAGTGTATCATGAGTATAATTATTCAGATGCATCGTTTTATTTGTAACTGACACCTTTAAAAAAATATAAAAAAAAAAGTCCAGTGTTTTTCTCATTTGCAAAAACGCTCAATTTTGGGTCCCCACTACCCCAAATTTCAATTTTCCTTCCTCTCTACCCCCCCCCCCCCCTACTACACACATACACCCTTTTGGGCTTAAAATAGAACTCCAAAGCAAAACCCCCATCAATTAGCTTCATTCAGTGTTCGGCTTCTTAGCTTTCTTGTCCCAAATTGAGAGCTTACCATTTTCCAATAAACTCTTTTCTACCTTTCTTTATTTCATGCTATTATGCCTCAATATGCTTCACTAATCTTTTTGCAAAGTAGTCTCTAAATTATGATTACTTTTAATTAGCTACCTTAAAATAAATAACCTCCCACCAAACAATCTCAACTTTTACAATATTGTTTTTATCTCTTTGAAGGTCAGTCCAAATTATGGTTTCTACTTCTCCTGAACCTAAGGTATGTAATGGTTATAACATGCATATTTTATGTAGTAATTCATATTATATACTATATAATTCAGTTAAATTTATGAATCTTAACATGGTTATGCATGCATGCTGCATGATTTTAATTAATATTCAACTGATGAATTTTATGAATCCTAATAGTTGTCAAAAACTTAATATATGTACAGGAAGTATTTTCTGTTGACGTGTGTCAGGATAAGGGTCCTCCTCGTCAAGCCAAATGGTGGTACTCAACCTTCCACACCGTCACCGCCATGGTCGGTGCCGGTGTTCTCAGCCTCCCTTATGCCATGGCTTACTTGGGATGGTAAATTTTTACTACTTGAACTCGATTTCCTTTTTTTTCATGTACCTGTCTCAAATTAGTAGTTCCATTAGTTGTTAGCAGTGTATAAAACACAAATTTGATCATAAATAAGCAAGGCTTTACAAAACAAAAATTGATATCTTGCTTAAAAAAAGCATTGAAATAAGGAAGATTTTTCAATAGCTACCGTAAAATTGTAGCTGTTATATAATTACATTAAATCATACCATTCATTTCTTGGGGGCAATAGTGTCCGTTAATTTACTTGACAATTGACATTAAATTAAATTTTGTTTGAAAAGTATTTACTTACATGGTTTTCAACTCTATAACCCAAAAATAAATAAATAAATAAATAAATAATAATAATAAAAAATTAAGTGACTACAAAATCTAACGATATCGCACATGACTATATTAATGTTAAATCAACAAAAACAACCAAAGAAATGTGTATCAATAGTAATCCGTATAAATCCCAAAAGTTGGACTAAAAAAAAATGAAGTATATTCTTAAAACAAAGTTAACAAGATACAAACTACTCCATATATGATATATATATTGACAATGTTTAATCATATTTACTTCCTATGCTCTATTTTTATCTTCCTACTAGAGTCAATTAGGTAAGGCATCATATCAGGTACTGTATATAATGCTATGTAGGAATTAGGAATTGACATGTTGGTCTATCGAAAATAACTTCAAGATACTTATTTAAGACTTGTTATTGGTTGTTTAATTGATCGACATAACATCACAATAGAAATGATAACTATTAAAAAAGAGAAAATAAAATTCTAGAATGTTGCCTTTCACAAAATTGTATTTCTCTAAAAAAAAAAAAAAAATTGGATAGTACTGTTTTTCATGTCCAACCAAATGACCACTAAAATGGACAAACCCCCCAATATACAAAATATATACTCCATACTTAGTTTTAAGACTTTTTTTTTCCCCCAATTTCATTGGTTTACGGCTTATGCAAGCACTCAATTCTAATTGATGTCAGGGGACCAGGGACTGTAGTTATGATACTATCATGGTGCATCACTCTAAATACAATGTGGCAAATGATACAGCTACACGAATGTGTTCCCGGGACACGCTTCGACCGGTACTACGACCTCGGTAAATACGCCTTCGGGCCGAAGCTCGGCCCTTGGGTGGTGCTCCCTCAGCAACTGATTGTTCAAGTGGGATGCGATATTGTGTACATGGTCACTGGAGGAAAGTGCCTAAAGAATTTCATGGAGATAGCATGCACCAACTGTGTTAAGCTTAGGCAGTCTTACTGGATTATCATTTTTGGGTCAATCCATTTCTTCCTTTCTCAACTCCCTAACTTCAATTCTGTTTCTGCTGTTTCTTTAGCTGCTGCTGTTATGTCACTCAGGTATTGTATACTATACTATTAATTTGGTTTAATTTGTTATGTCATATACAAATATTTAATTTGGTTTCCATACTTTACTATGATTAGTTGATTGCCATAGATTTTGGAAACCTTAAACTTTATAAAGTAGAATAGATACCTAAAAGATTCTCAGTTGGTGAAAGCTAATTTTGTCACTTTGAGTAGCTTAATTAACAAGATAACTTGCTCAAAACCAGCTATAGTAAGGTAAACTATCACTTGTCGCACTCCCGAATGACCACTATCACTTGTCGCACTCGAATGACCAAATTAGCCTTATTTAGCTTCATATTATTGATGTTATAGATGAAATTTAACCATCAATTTTGAGTATCACTTTTAAGACTTTACCAACTAAGCTAGCTGACATCCACAACTATGCTTTTATATCGATTATCAGGATTGCTATTGCTAAAAAAATGATGTGCTACTTAAAAGGCCTCATTAAATTGTACTTTGTAATATATAAATTTAATTAATAAGCATCTCACTATTCTGATGCTGAAGATATGATTTTGCAATTGAAACTACTTGCAGTTATTCAACAATAGCATGGGTAGGTTGCTTAGCCAAAGGTCAAATTGAGAACGTGAGCTATGGTTACAAAAACACAAGCAACGTTGACTTCATGTTCCGAGTCTTCAATGCACTAGGACAAATTTCATTTGCCTATGCTGGACATGCAGTTGTGCTTGAAATCCAGGCCACCATGCCATCCACTCCTGAGAGACCATCGAAGGTATCGATGTGGAAAGGCGCGTTAGGTTCCTATTTCGTAAATGCACTCTGCTATTTTCCTGTGGCATTTATAGGTTACTGGGCATTTGGCCAAGATGTTGATGACAATGTGTTGATAGGACTCAAGAAGCCTGGTTGGCTTATCGCCTCTGCTAATCTGATGGTCGTCATCCATGTCATTGGCAGCTATCAGGTAATCCATTTTGTGTATTTATTTTCTGCAGGAGCTTGGTAAGGCACCAAAATGAATGTAACATGTACAGCCTGAGATCTTACAAAAAATTCACGAAAAATTATTCTTGGATAAGTTCATCTAAATTCAATTTTCATCTAAATTATGGTCTGATAATGGAAAAAAGTTCCGAATAAAGGCTATTAAGTTCAAATAAAGATGGTTCATGTTAAAAGAACGAAGCCTATATCCATAATACGATCAGTGTTATGTTGTAAGTCTGACTTTATTTAGATGAGAATAATATATGCAGGTATATGCAATGCCCATCTTTGATATGCTTGAGAATTTGATGATAAAAAAACTAAAATTCCCACCAGGACTTACTCTTCGACTCATTACTCGAACAATCTACGTTGGTAATTTAACTAATTTTTTTATTTTCACTAGTCTCCTGATCAATTTTTTTTCAAGAAATTTTTTCTTCATGACCGTAGTGATGATTGATCACTACACATGCCTTGCAGGGTTAACTTTATTTCTCGGAGTCACCTTCCCTTTCTTTGGAGATCTCCTCGGTTTCTTTGGTGGATTCGGCTTTGCTCCAACCTCGTACTTTGTAAGCTCTTCACGTCTTCTATATGTCCTATTCTTCATGTCAAACCCCTGACAAAAAAAACAGAGTTTTAACTTTGCTGAGGAACATCTTTGCAGCTTCCTTGTGTCATTTGGCTCGTCATCAAGAAACCAAAGAGATTTAGCGCTTCTTGGTTCATCAACTGGGTATGCCTTTTGTTGATTATGCATGCTATATTATGCTAAATCAAAGATTAAATCATTGGATAAACTATTTCTTTTCATTTGTACTTTTTTTGCAGGCATGTATAATCATTGGGGTGCTCATCATGCTGGCATCAACAATCGGTGGGCTTCGAAACATCGTTATGGACTCCTCCTCTTACAGCTTCTACTCCTAAGTAAAACATAATCTTTGTAAAACTGTAACTTGGAGCTAGCTAAGCCAAGCTAGCAAATGATTCCATCATCGTACATTCGTACCCAGACGATCATTTTGCTTGATTAGCTTGATCTAGATAAGGATAAATGTTGTGCTGAAATTAAAAAAATTAGAGTTGAAATGTCAAATTAATCAAGAACATATGTTCAAGTTACAAGTAGCATATTTGGCAAATATCAATTAGTTTTTGGTGTAGTGGTGATTGGGGCTACACTTGGTAGGGAGGACCACGTGTTCTATCCCCGCAACAACAATTGGGAGGGGACTGAAACCTAACCACTTAGGGAGGACCACGTGTTCTATCCCCGCAACAACAATTGGGAGGGGACTGAAACCTAACCACTTAGAACTGATCCTCAAATTCAGATTAACCCCAAAGGGTGAACCGGTGGAACACCCAAAAAAAAAAAAACACATATTTGGCAAATAGACTTTGTTGTACTTAAATTTGTATGTTATATCACCTTACTAGTTACTAAAGTTGCATCTTTAGTCTATACAATGGATCTAATTTCACACATCATCAACTCACTTACCAAATGTTTAAAACTAATTACCAAGTAATCAATTCTCATGACATTATCAATATGACAACATTCAACATGTCTATCATGGAGCTGAAGCTAATATTGGCCTTTACAGCACTACTATCTCCTCTTTTAACACAAGAAATTTCGAACCACATAGCAAATAAGCGAGGCAAGTAGTATTAAAACATTTGTTGTGACTAATATAATGCAACATGAGTGCCCAAATCACAATTTAAGTAACATCTTAGATCATTTTGTTGAGAATTTTAAATTTATTATACCTCTTTTTTTTTTTTTTTTTTTTAGCACCCAATATTTCGTGCGGCAACTCACATCCTTCCAAGTTCCACCAACTGCAAAATCCAATTCAATCAAATTCAACTCCATTCAATCTTAATCCACTCAAATTCAACTCAATCCAATTCAAATTCCACATTACTCAAAACCAAACCAAATTTTTTTTTTTAAAAAAAAAAAAGAGAGATTTAATACTTGTTAGAGACGAGGACGACGACGGAGGAGATGAAGAATAAATTCTCCGGCGACGGCGACCGTCCTTTGATTCAAGATCGCACGGGAGGTGCGATTCGCTGGTGCAGGTGGCTGCGGAGGTGCGATTCCCTGGTGGAGTTTGCCGGTGGTGGTGCGATTCGCTAGTGGAGTTCGCTGGTAGTGGGTGCGGTGACTTGGATTCGGTGGTTTGTGGGTGCGGTGGCCTAGCTTTGGTGGTTTGTGGGTGTGGTGGCCTGGGTTCGGTGAACGGCGGCGGCGAAACGGCGTGGCGAGGATCGGTGGCCGGACTGATTTGAGGAGGAAAGGGAAGTGAGAAACGAAGGAGAAGGAGAGAGAATGAGGGGTGGCGTGATTGTGAATCTGCTAACAGGAGAGAAAAAGAAAGAGAGGAAGAGGGGGAAAGAGAGGAGAGAAAATGAAATAAAAATACTACTTGTATATACTTTGTACAATCAGCTAATACATGTAATATATCAGCCAATTGATATTTTGTATCAACCAACGTTAAAGACATTAATAAAAATGTATCAGTCAACAAAAGGAATATATTAGCCTATAAAAGATACATATCAGCTAACAAGAGGAGTATATCAGCCAACAAAAGGTACTTATCAGCCAACAGAAGGAACATATCAGCCAACAAATGATGCATATCAGCCAACAAAAGGATGAAATCAGCCAACAAAAGCAACAGGTAAGCCAACAAAATAAACATATCAGCCAACAAAATGAAATATATAAGCCAATAATTTAAATATACATATCCAACAAATAAATATATCAGCCAACTAAAGAAACATATAAGCCAAATGATGTCTGATATCAGCCAACAAAAGGAACCTATCAAAAATTAAAAAAATAAAATAAAAAATATATATATCAGCCAATAAAAGAATATATTAGCCAACACAAAAATCATATCAGCCAACAAATGAAATATATCAGCCAACACATGAAACATACACTACTACATTTTTTACCTAATGCCACGGCTAAATTAAGGCTAATGCAACGGTAGTTTTATTACCGTTGTAATAGCATAGGCTAATGCAACGGATACAACTCTAATATTCTAAGAGCTAGAGCTAATACAACGGCTCTAAAGAACCGTTGCGTTAGCCTAGCTATTTCAATAACCAAGAAAGCTGATGCAACGGTATGTAATGAAAAATTAGATGGCGCGGAAATTTTCATGACTTCCTTCTACTTTTACCCCAAAAATTTAAAACCCCTTACACGTGTTCCTATTCTAAGACAAAAATAAAAAGGAAAAAGAAAAGAAAATTGGAAAAGTAAGAAAGCTCTTTCTCTGAACTAAACCCATTTTCTCACATCTTGGCACTACACCTATTTTCCCCCGATTCTCCATTTTTGAAGCCCTAAATTACTGTAGGAAAATTATTGAAAAATTTCTGAGAGGAAAATTAAACAAAGAAATCTGAGCAATTAGACGAAGGCGGCACTCAAGCGGTGGCTGATTGCTTGAATTTCAGGCAGTGGTTGCGAGTTTCAGGTGGTGGCTGCGAATTTCAGGCAGTTCCGACAAATCCCATTTTCATCTTGCATGTTCCTGCCTTGTGGTTGATTGCTCGAATTGTTGTTTAAGGTATACGACATAGTTTTGTTTTTGAGATTGCTTAATTAAAATTTGTGTTGTTACATGGTGGTGTTAGGGTTAGGGTTCCACCACGGAACCACTCCAAAACCCACCTCCGTTGACAAATTAGGGTTTCAGCGAAGAAAATTGGGCGCAAACGAGGAATTAGGGTTTGGTTCTGGGTCTGGGTCATCACTTCCTGTCTTGAACAAGCCCAGATCTGTGGCCAAACCCCCTCCAGTCCGTAGGGTTTCTTATCTGTCTCAATTTCGAAGGATTCGAGGTCCTCCTAACAAAATCACTTGCGATGATGATGATGTGAACGTGGAGTCCCCCCTCTGAGCTCGTTAAACAGGCTTAATTTTGCCGTTGGTAACTGTTTCTATGAAACCCTAACTCAGTTCATTTTATGTCAATTTTTTTTTAGAATCATGTTTAGGTGGTGGAAGAATTAATCATGCTTGTATACCAGTAACCTAGGTTACTAGCGGGATGGATAATTGTTAGTGAAATGTGTGTGGTTGTTGTTGTTGAAACAGCATGTGTGTTATGCTGTTTAGGCTATAGTGTGGTTAGTTGTTGTTGTTGTTGATCCAGCATGTTGTGGTTGTTGATACGTGTGGTTAGTTGTTGTTGTTGTTTAGCTATTGTTGTTGTGTATGGAAGGTTGGGTTAGGATTTAATTGGGTTGAGGTTTTCTTGGGGCAGTAGATGGTCAGTTAGGGTCGTTTTATGGTAATTGTTAAGCTATTGTCGCTGTGATGTTTTGTGTGTTCTGTTATTGACTCTGCCTCTATAGTGGTTGTTGCCCTACTGTTAGTTATTGTTGTCTTTCCCCCTCCCCTGTCTGCTGCCCTGATGTCTTCCCCCTTAGCTTGTTGGTTACTGCCCATGGTTTCCTTTGAAATCACCCCTAATGCATTGGCAGAGATAAAGACATGTACTAGCAACTTTTCTATGAGTCAATTATTCAAAAAAGGACCTATTGAATGTGTTTATAAAGCCAATTATCTAGATGGCAAGGTATCAGTAGCTTGAATACTAACTCACTGTAAATATGCCTCATAGAATTCAACATGAGTTTAATGATCATCAATCTGATAGACATACATCCTACTAACATTTTATTTAATAAGGATAAGACATCTTAATATCCTCAAAATGTTGGTCCATTGCTGATGATATGTTGAGTTCTTGTATCATACTAGGTGTCAAGTGTAGGGTTTCGTAGTGACCCGACACTACGCGGAAGGAAACCCACCAAGACCCGCCCCTTAATTAAAACAATTAACAAGCATATTAGACTTAATCAAACAAGATTAAGAAAAAGAATTATACCTTTATCGCGTGCTTCACTCCCAAAGAGCTCTTACTTCAAAATCCCGAAAACACGAGATCTCCGACGGATCGTACCCTCGACCCGACCCGAGCGTCCTAAGTCTTGAAGGTTAGTCAAGACCCGGACAAAATAACTATGAGTTTTACGAATCAAAGGTTTACTCTTACTTAGAGTTGCCTTTTTCATTCCACTCAAGGTTGTTCATTTCCCAATACCCAAGCTTGGTATTTATAGGGAAATGAACTCTTGAACTTCATTCCCCAACCAATGTGGGAGAATGAATAATTTGCTAATTGATTTATTTCTAAAATAAATTAATAATTAAATTCAATCACAATGCAACAAGTGTCAAAGGGAGAAAGAAGGTTAGGTGAGGACCATGGAGAGGTGGGGGGGACCATTGCCTTGCTCCCCAAGGCTTTCCCAAAGCCTTGGTCCCCACCCTCACAAAACCGCCTCACCCAAAAGGGCTGATGGGCTGCTGCCATCTAGCAGTGCCAGCTAGCACCAGACTGGCCAGCACCCTTGCATGCTTGGTGCTGGTGCGTGCCAGTGCTAGGCGCTGGTGCTGGCCTTCGCATCCCACCCACCACACGCATCATCGCTGCACCCCTTCGCACATGCTCGCACACCCAGCATGCGTGCTGCTAGCGAGCCAAGCATGTTGGCCCCTTTGCCTCGCCAGCCACACGCACCATCCTCGCAGCATCCCTCGCACATGCACTAGCTACGCACCATGCGCACTAGTCATGCACAACGTGCATTGGCCTCGCACCACACGCACACCCACGCATCACACAGCAGCCTTGGTGCGTGGTGATGTTGGGTTGTTGTGCGTGGCCTAGCAATATGCTGGCGCCCAGGCCCTCGCACATGCATGGTGTGCTGCTTGGTGCTGCCATGCGAAGGCTAGCACACAAGCCAGCACGCATGCTGCGGTGGGCTGCTTGGTGCGCCTGATGCCTGCGATGGCAGCGATGGTGCCTAGGCATCATGCTAGCACGCTGCTAGCTGCGATGGTGCTCCTAGCGCTTGTGGTGCTTGCGATAGGCAGCGATGGTGCCTAGGCATCATGCTAGGGCTGCGATAGCGCCTAGGCATGATGCTAGGGCTGCGATAGGTTGCCATGGCGCGCCTAGGCTGCGATGGTGCACCTAGGCTGCGATGGTGCGCCTAGCACATCTAGTGTGCTTAGTCTTGTGCCTAGCCATGCTAGGTGCATGCTAGCCTGAACTAGCCTAGCATCCACATGGCTAGGCCAGTGTGGTGCTAGGGCTATGTTCATACTTGTTGCTTTGTGATTTCGCAACGCTCGGTCTCGACGCCCTAGGCTCGATATCTGACGTCCGTATTCGTAAAACTCTGCTGACTCATTAAGTCCTTTCGGATTAATTCGTCGTCTCGGATCGGTGATTCGATTGGGTTCGACCCGAAGGGTTCAGTTAAGATTAAGCTGTAACATCAATTGTACATTGATATTACTGATCGGAAGCGGCCTCCACCTAGGCATTCCGATCACTTGACCTTACTGAAGAATTAGCTCCGTAATAATTCTGAACCCTCTATCGGAAGAATGCACTTGTTGGAAGGACACCATTCCTTTCAATTTCCCACTTGTCCTTCCGGACAAGTGTGCATACAGTGTATAGCCCATTTCCTATGTCACTTAATGTTTCTTCGTGAACTATAAGGTAAGATTCTTTGTCATCCTTATTACGTTCAGAAGTGTTTCTCGATCTCCGAGTTCGACTGTCAATATGAAGATGATTTCTAAAATCCATTTGAGCACAGCCATGCATTTTCACAGTCTTGCTCTTCGAGCGTCCTTGTAAACAACAAAACATTTTCCCTATTGTTAGTAGGGGGACAATCCCAGTCTTGTATTGTAAGTTCCTCTTACTAAGAGGACATAGTATCCTGAGTGTTCCCGTTATGATCCCCAGTTACGGCAGACGTTAGGAAACATCATAGAGTCTAGTACTCAAACAAGATAACTTCACAATACTCATGGTCGGAGGAAACAAGTTCCGATAGTCATAATGAGAAATGTACTTATGACAAAATTTAAAATTTCTTAAAGTACTCTCATAGGTCTTATCCAGTACAGTTCCAAATTGTGCCTGTGCAAATGATTTATGACCGTCACGTCCTCGCAGCACAAGAAACGGTGCTGTAAATCATACTACACACTAATATATGGCGGTCATTAATCGTCCATCTGTCAGATGATCTCGATTAGGGATAATTTTCGATTAAAATATTCAATGTTCACTTAACAGGTGTTTCTTTATCCAAGACATGGTCTTGATACCCTGTTTTGAATATTTCCGTAAATCGAATGGACTCATTATTTAATTCTAAACCACAATTAAATAGTAATGGAGTGAATGATAATTTTGCACAAAAATTAATTACTCCATTAATGAATGGTTTTAATACAGTGTCTTACATTAAATATCCTATTTAATTAAAACACATGTACAGGGAATTTCAAAGCCAGTCTCCAACATGCTTAATTCCCATCGCCTCAATGTGCTTGTTGTGTTTCACTTGAGGCAGCGGTTTAGTCAAAGGGTCGGCTACATTATCATCTGTGCCAATCTTACAAATTCTGATTTCACCTTCGGATTTCCATTCCCTTATCATGTGAAATCGCCTTTGCACGTGTTTGACCTTCTGGTGCTCTCTCGGCTC